CTTCCACTAGTGGAATAGCATAGTTTAATGATTCTAGTTGTTTATAATCATGCTAAAATCAATTAAAGGTAAATGTCACGAGATACACAACATGCAAGCTCTTTCCATTTACTATTCCATGATCTAAGTAATTTTTGTAGATGCAGAAGGCAGAGAGAGGTCATCATTAACTTCCACCAGCAGTTCAGCTTCTTCCTTGTTTTATGAGATGCAAGAGAGGCTGGAGAACACTGCACAAAAGAGAAAAAGTTCACCGATGGCCATTTTATTCATTAATAACTGTTAATAAACTGTAATAATAACCATAGCAACGACAACACGGATCATGCACGGAATAAAATTAAAACGGGGAAGTTTCCAATCCCGGTCTGTGTAGTATATCTATGGTGACTCTCAACCTATTAAATATTAATTAATTTATTTGTTTACTTAAAAACATATTTTCCAACATTGAGGTGCTTCAGTGTTAGCAAAGGTTGGGTCCAATAATCCCGGTTCCCTGAGACCCCCTGTAGGGGGCCACTGATTAAATCCCACTGGTAGAACAGGGTCTCTCCCTTGGGTCCATCGTCACTTGTTTCTATGGCAATACCATGACAACAGGCCACACCCATTAGTACTTATTTGAGGCATCTAGTATTAGTTTATCGGAGGGTTTTATAGTGATGTTAGTGCTGGGGGATATGATAACAATAGGAGCCTTGTTGACATGGGGCTCTAAACTTTATAGAATCGTTAGTTACTGTATAAGTGGTTTTTTTGAGGAAATTATATTTTGCGAAATCTGCTAAAATTCCAAATTTGTGGATTTTAATTTCACAAAATCTACCATGTGTGCCATGCGGGTACCATATTAAATTGATTTTCGCAGATTTTATTTTCGCAAATCAGGAGGGAATCCGCGAAATTTGCAAAATTTGCAACCCTAAAAAAACCCACTTATACAGTATTATCTTACCTGGTCTAACTGTAATGTTAACAAAATCTCTTCCGTAGTTTCCTTCATCATCATAAACTAATACTTCAAGACTGTATACCAGCAACCAACTGTAGAATAAAGAGGATACAATTAATTCAAATTTAATTTATCAGTGATATGTCAACTATGATGATAAACCATCATAATTTACAATCAATAATTATCATAAGGCTAGAGGTGTCTGAATGTCACTCCACTAGGGCTGCTACTGCTATTAATACCTTATTAGGTAAAAGTATATCTTTAAAGGTGGCCCTGGAGCAAAATGGCATCAAGCAAGCAAGCAAGAATGTTCCCTATTATTTTAGGTGAGCGGTTTATCTTTATTCTTCCTTGTATGTGTTTACTTTATTATTAGATATTAGCAAATTAAATGAGATTATGGAGATTTTAAAGCAATACAGGTTTCCTGAGGCAAAATGGTTTGAGTTTGGGTTAAAACTTGGTCTACTTCATCCTACACTGGAAGCTATTGATGCTAATCATAAAGGAAATACTTCACGTTGTCTCATGGAGTGTTTATCCAAGTGGCTGAGTAAAGCCTACTTGGCAGACATTGGCCAATGCTCTTAAAAAAATAGAACTAAAAACAGTGGCTGAAAATATTGAGAAAATAAGTAAATTAGTCTAATTCAATAAGACTGAAATTTATACTCTATTTCTTAATAGTGGTTGATCCGGCTAGCCAGTTACTACAGCATTACAGTAGTAGAATATCTGAAACAACACTCTCTGAAGAATCAGTTGATCTGTTACATACAGAAGGACTGATATCTGAAGAGACATTGAGGGAAGTGAAGAGTTGTGGATACACACTAACAGATGATGCAATGAGAGAAACATACACATCAGTAGCTTATGATCATAACAAATTGAAATCATTTGCTAGCATATTATTAAGATCAACAGGCACTCTAATCAGTATTGCAAATGACTTACTACAGGATATTGGTAAGTAGTAATTAAAATCCAATACATGAAACTTAGCCAACTTATTGTTCCTTATAGAGAAAATTATCATGCCTGAAAGTTTGTCTGAGTGCATTAATGATCCTCCAACCCCAGCAATTGGACCTACTTCAGGTATTTCATATGATGAAGATAAATAGCAAATTATGTAGGATTATGTCCTTAATAGGTAAAATTTCAAGGCCTCAAACAGGTAATTATCACTAATAGCATAATGTTAGAATTATAACTGCATGTACTATTATAGATATTCAACTTTATATTACACAACTCTATAATGATCGCTTTGATGAAATGATATGGGATTATGGGATGTTTCATATTAAAATTACTGGTTTGGTATGCAATAAAATCACAGATGATCAACTTGAAGATTTCAAAGAATGCATCAATGCCTGTTGCTCTGACCTGAGCCCACAGCTGGCCATTGCCACTACAGTGAAAGATGTCATGAAAGCCATTAAAACCATATGCAATGTCATCAATATCACACCAGTGAAAAAAGTAGTCAATTTCTACAGCATAACTGAAGCTATGCCATTGATATCCAAGTACAATGCAACACTTGATGAGTTTTGCAACACCTTCAAAGTTGATTTCTTGCTTGATAAAAAGCTTTCAACAAGCGATTTTCTGATTTGTGAAACAATTGAGTTTGTTCTAGACTGGGATCCTGCTGAGCACTTATTGAATGATATTCGTCGTTTAATGGAGAAAGCATTCAAAGGATTGAGCAGAAGGATCATAGTCAAAAGCATGCATAAAGGGAACTCCATCATTATCATTTGTGGTGCTCCTACTCATCTAATGAATGCTTTGCAATTGAGGGCTCGTGATAATCTTACTGTGCTTCAAGAAGAATTTGCTTTGATGAGATTGAAAATAGGACACTTCACTGTCTATGATAGGACCATAAAAAACAAAGTATACCAGATATAAAATTATTTTTAAATATTTAACATCCATTTAGGAAATGAAGATTGCTGCAAAGGAGATTGAAATGTGCATAGGAGAATTGCTGAAGCTGAATCCATATTACAATGACAAAGAAAGTATGACTGAATCATTTACTAATAGCATCAATGCATGCATGTACAGGTCTCTTTGATGATAAAGCAATGCAACTTATACATTTAAAACAGAAACAAGGCAGGGACACATTACATTAAATTATATAATTATTGTTTTAAATAATTTTAGAATTCATCAATAGTAGCAAGCAGGCATCAGGTATTGGATAAATTTTATCATAATTTATTATTGCATTATCAACTTGTAATCATATAAAGGTTTTAAATCTAAAGTAAAAAAAATTGAAAGAGAAAAGGCTGCAAGTACAAAAAAGCGAATGTTATTAACAGAAACTGAACATTTACAATCTACTCTAAGGATCAGAATAAGTATAATACATGTTTCATTAGCTTCTAATGACATAATACATGTACTTTAAAACAGGTCGAAAGGAAGTACTACAAGACAATGAACAAGAAATTGAGGAACTACAAGAAAGTATATCATCTATCAGTGTAGAGCTGCTTGAAATGCAACCGTTTTACAGTAAGTACATGTATTTATATTATTACATTCTAATCAGACATCAATAGATAAAGAAGTGAAATCCACACAGACAGTGCTATCATCCAATGGATCTATCTGTGAAGCTCAAGTTGATTATAGTGACACAACTATTTCATTCAAAAAGGGTGAACTACTTCAGTTAAGTACAAATGGACATGAGGTACAATCACTGGAGACTGGACAGAAGAGTGCTGTTCCAATGAAATACATTGGATACTCAAGAGTAGAATTGCTTCAATTGCTTCAGTTTGCAATGACGGCAAAGGAAAGATTACCAGTATTACTTCTACCTGTTCTTTTCAATGATGATGATAAAGCAGAGTATTTTATGCAAAAATTAACTGGTGATGCTGCTCTACTACAGTCATTAAGGAAATGGATCTCTGAGCAAAAATGTAAACAAATATGCATGCTGTATGCTTGCTATAATTATTACATTACAACTTAACTAGTGTTCATGGCTAGTTATAGCTTAGAAGCATCAAGCCCACAAGACTTAAATTTGAAGAAAGGTTTGCAACAATAAAGAAATGATACAATGCAAGTAATAATGCATTATAATAGGAGAAGTACTTGAAGTTGTCAATTTTGAAAATGATGATCACTGGTGGTATATGTATTCATTTCATGCAGACAAAAGAGGCGAAGTACCAATTAATTATATAATTCCAATTGAAGGGAAATACCCACTAATGTAAGTAAAATTTAACTAACAGACAGGATAAATCTGATACATAAATGTACTCTTTATTCCTAAGGTACTACAAGTACATCTACTATCATACAGTGAGTCGTGATGAAGCAGAGAAGAGACTGAGTCAAGCAGGCACTCAAGCAGGTACTTTCCTAATTAGAGATAGTGAAAGTGATCCTGGACAGCATTATACCCTTTCATTTAATGGTGGAGCTACTATCAGGCACTATCGTATATACATTGAGGATAATAAGTATTATATACTCCCTTGTGTCAGGTTTGACTCACTCAATGACCTGGTACACCACCACATGATGGAAGCTGATGGTCTGACCTGCTCACTAACAATTCCTATACCCAAGCAAAAAAACACACCCTACTGGACCATTAAAATAGATAAAAAGTGGGAAATTAATAATTCAGATATCAAGTTTTTAAAAAGCATACATACTGGGCAGTTTGGAAAGACATGGAAGGGTGATTTGATAGGTAAAGGCCCAGTTACAATTAAGACAAATATAGCAACAGATATTACACAAGAAACATTTCTTGATGAGGCCAACATACTGGGAAAACTTCGTCATCACAACATCATCAGTCTATATGGTGTTTGCACTGAAAGCTATCCATTTTATATTGTAACAGAACCAATCAATGGAAACCTCAAAGATTACCTAACTACAAATAATCCTACACCAGCAGAGTTGGTAGATATTGCTATTCAAGTTACTGATGGTATGATGTATCTGGAAGAACAAGATTACATTCATTGTGATCTAAGAGCAGAGAATATACTATTAGGAGATCATAACACTGTCAAGATAGCAAACTTTTATCTAGCTCAACACCTCAATGGCAATAAATACTACAACAATAAGAAATATAATATATTAGCTAATAGATGGGCAGCACCTGAAGGATATACTGTAGAACGACTAAGTATTAAATCTGATGTTTGGTCATTTGGTATATTACTATGGGAACTGGTTACCAAAGGAAAGGAACCGTATCCTGGCATGACAGATGAAGAAGTAAAGGAGGCAGTACCAAAAGGTTATCGTATGCCCATACCCAAAGATTGTCCTGAACCATTTAAACAACTTATGATAAACTGCTGGAAAAATCATGAATATACAAGGCCAAATTTTAGAAATATCTTCATTGTACTTGTCAAACATAGTAGACATACATTCATATAAATGTATTTTTGCTTGTGAATTTTAAAATCAATTGTTTCAATGTAACTGAGCACCTTAATACAAAATTACAAATTATAGTATCAATAAAGAATAACCTTCTACTAATCAGTGTCAACAATGCATCCAAGGTCATTAAATCCTTCCCTCCCTCCCTATAACATACGTGACTCAATGAGATGGTTTTATCATTGACTCCATTGAGGTTTCCCTTCTTAGGACCAAACAATCTCCTCCAATGATAATGATAAGTAACACCTGGTGATGAATCAGGCCATGTACTGGAGAATATCTTAATATGATCAGTTGGTAGTGTAATAACTGGATGTTTATTAGCAACTGCTATTGTAAGGACTGCAGAAAGAGAGAGAGAGGAGAGATGGAGGGAGGTGGCGGGAGAAGATATCAAGGAAAAAATAGGAGAGAGTGCGCGTGTATGAAAAAAGGAAAAAAGAAATGGGAAGAGAAAATAGAAGGTAAATTAATGATCACTAGGAAGATATTCTTTATAATGTTAGACTCTAGTGTATAAACAAACAAAAATGCATGTGTAAATTTTTATGGAGTCCATGATACTGTATACGTCATATATTTCACAGGTATAAAATTTTGTGATTTGGCTGCATTTTTGTATTCGCGAATAAAAATTTTGCAATTTAAATGTAATTACTACACCTACTATACAATCAGCACACTATTTTGCAGAATTTAATTTCGCGAATTTTTCTAAAACGCGAATTTTAATCCCCACAAAATATATGCCGTACACAGTACTTTATCAAAACTTGCTTCAAAATATTGTATTATTTTCTGATACATATATACATGCCTACCTGTAATGCTAACAAAATGTTTTCTGTATATAGTTTCCTTCATCATCATAAACTAATGCTTGAAGAACATATTTACGAGCAACCAACTGTAGAATAGAAAAAATGAGAATAATGTTATTAATAATAGCAATGAATGTTATTACAATGAGAGAAAGACACTACAAGTACCTTCCCTTCCAAATTACAGGCAAAGCCAATGAGGTTTGTTTATGTAACAAAAATGATTCAATTTGCACCTAAGTATACAAAGCATAAAACTGCAAAACAAAACAGCACAAAGAAAACAATGTTTTTCCTTTTTGACATATTACTTTGTAAACACAGTCTGCCAAACAGTAAAATGGCATCAAGTAAGCCAGTAAGAACATTCCAGGCTATTATTTTAGGTGAGTTTAATTTCATTTCTCTTAATTTGTGTTTATTTTATAATTAGATATTAGTAAACTAAATGAGATTGTACAGATATTGAAGCAATACAGGTTTCCTGAGGCTAAATGGTTTGAGTTTGGATTGAATCTTGGCCTCCTTTATCCTACACTGGAAGCTATTAAAGTTAATCATAGAGGAAATACTTCACGTTGTCTCATGGAGTGTTTATCCAAGTGGCTGAGTAAAGCTGATGAAAATGTGTATCCTCCTACTTGGCAGACATTGGCTAGTGCTCTTAGAAAGTTAGAAGCAAAAGCAGTGGCTGAAAATATTGAGAAAACAAGTAAAGTCAATTCTAATTTAATATAATGTATTGTAATGCTCCTTTCCCAGTGGTTAGCCAGCTACTACAGCATTACAGTAGTAGAATATCTGGAACAACACTCTCTGAAGAATCAGTTGATCTGTTACATACAGAAGGACTGATATCTGAAGAGACATTGAGGGAAGTGAAGAGTTGTAGATACACACTAACAGATGATGCAATGAAAGAAGTATATGCAGCAGTAGCTTATGATCATAACAAATTAAAATCATTTGCTAGCATATTATTAAGATCAACAGGCACTGTTAGTATAGCCAATGACTTAATGAGAGATTGTGGTAAGAAACAATATGTTTAATGAGATTAATTTTATGCTTCTTTTTAGAGGACATTTTTGA